TTTTTTTTTCGCTCCATGTACAGTAGATAATTTATCGCATAAGTTGGAATAAATTTCAAAGAGTTCACTCCACTAATCAACCGCAGGTGTGTGTCATTTGGTGTGATCCCTCCTATTGCGCCGCGGTTTGGCGCTGGACAACTCGTCCATGTGATCGAGCAACCTAGTGCCCATTCAGCTAAGCTAAGCCCGATCGATGACACCACGCTGATAGGCAGAATACAAGCAGGTCCGTAAATCGGTGTCTAATATAGCGACGCCATCGACCTGCCTTCTATCAACTGGATAGGCAGTGGATTGCCCGATTATCTGGACGAGTTGTCCAGCTCGCAAACCGCGTCAGATGAGCGGCGCGATGGGAAGACCGAAAAAACGACCGTCTCCCATCAATCGCGTGTCGCCATCCTTTCGGTATTTCTTTACTTCTCAAAATAACTAGGATCGGCTGCACAAGCCCCAAGCCCCACCTTCCACCAATGGTTAATGCGCTGGATCCTGTATTCAACGTACACATTGAGCGGTCCAGCCAGCCATCTCTCCTCTTTTAACGTGCGGGGGCCGCATGTGCGGGATGCCGCTTGAGCCTTATGACTCCAACTATACTTTGTATCCCGGAGAACTGAAAGCAGTTAGTCCTTTGTCCTTCACTTTCGAGTGTGACGGGTACAGGTGAAAAGTTGAGTGTTTGTATGAGTGAAATTTCAAAAATTCAACATAAAAATGTGAAGAATCGAGGGGAGACGACACTATTACTTGGGACTACGAGACTATAACATCCAAAAAGCAGGCAGTTAGTACTAGTTATCAACAGGGTCAAACAAAATACAAGTCTTGAATATAAACATGACTATTATGACTGTCCAAAGTGATGACTATAATGACTGTCCAAAGTGATTATTGCCATGAATGAAATAAATATAGCAGCTCATAACAAAGAAAGAACCATTCGTTAGTCATGATCCAGTGAGGACATTGAATACCTCCAGTTCATGAATATCAAAGCTACGACTTGGGACAAGAGCTGGGCTACCAAACGTTTGACATGCGGACGACATACCATGAGTGAGCTCTTCAGAGATACGAATAGCATCTCCATCTCCAGAACCAATCTAAAAGGCTCCACTTAAATGAAATGATATAGATTTCAATCGGATCTCCGATTTAGCGCCTATAATTTCCAGCTGCGGCTCCTGGCCACGTTATAAGGTGTGGTATGAAAAGAATGGTACGGAAACAGCGGCTATCGATATCCGGGATTCGAATCCGTGATCATGCACATATGATAGTGTGTCAGTTGCCAATACACCGCTTTTGCGACGCGGTTTGCTAATAAACGCGGCACGATGTAGGTTTCTGGCACAAAAAAAAACTACACAGAAGGTCAGAAATAAAGGTCAAGTATATCTGCGAAACTGTTTGTAGCTCGTTAAATAGAATAATCAAATTTTAAGTGAAACGTCCAGCTTACTTTCACAAGTTAACAACAGAAAATCGAAATTCAACGACTTTAAATTACCGAGAGAAATGCAAA